ATTGCTTGTCTGAGAGCAGATCATGGGATGTAAGGTGGTTAAACACTTCGGCATTGATTAGGGCTTCAAAGACTTTGCCGAAGAGGGATAGGAGACTAATAGGATGGTAATTAGAGGGGTCAGAGGGGTCTCCAGAGTTCTTAAAGACAGAAACAATGGATGAGGACTTCCAGCAGTCAGGAAAACAAGGATTCCTTGAGGCAGTAATTATATAGTTTAGAGAGGGCGGGCGCTAGCTCAGGCACGCATTTCTTCAAGACAATGGCTGGTATGCCATCTCCACCACTAGCCTTGTGGGACTCTAAATTGGAGATAATGCCCAGTACCAATGACAGGGTTATGTGTAAGCTGCTCAATAGGGCCTCAGTTCTTAGAGGGATGTCTGGTATGGGTACACCGGTGGAGTCGTGCGTTGAATTAAATAAGAATTTCCGAGCAAAGCATTCAGCCTTGTCGGTAGAGGAGGTCAAGACCTCGAACTGGTTGAATAAAGGAGGTATGGAGGGTTTTCTCTATTGTTCAAGACACTCTTGCAGAGCTGCCAATAATCTTTGGAGCCAAATTTGCGAGATGCAATACACTCCTTCATCCGAGCAGCAAATATATATATATATATATATATATATATATATATATATATATATATATATATATATATATATATATATATATATATATATATATATATATATATATATATATATATATCTTTGAACTTCATTTCAATCTTTCATGAGCTTCAAATCCTTCTCTATGATTAATTAATGATGAACATATCATTTTCATTTATGATTGATTTCATTGCAATCTTTCTGTTAAGCTTGGAGAGTAATTGCACATTCTTATTGCTCAAAAGTAGAGTCCAGTAGTGTTATAAAAACCTTGGAGAATTTCAGTAAGATATCTTTAATCATTTCTAAGATACACTGGTACCAATCTTAATCTAACAATTGGACAATCTTGCTGTTACATGATTTTGACAATTCTGTTGTTACACCCAGTGTGTATATATATATATATATATATATATATATATATATATATATATATGTATGTATGTATGCATGCATGTACATATAAATGTGTGTATGTGTGTGTGCATATGTGCATAAAAATTCAGATATAAATAAATAATGTATCTGAAAAAAGACTATGAATAAAGACAAAAAGTAAACTTATCTTAGCTGACACGTTTCATCTTCTGATGGACTTCATCAAGGCAGATGTAAGGATTTTATTTTGTAACACGTATTTATAAATAGAAATAAAAATATCAACATGTTTTAAAATTTTTAAATTTACGAACACTCAAAAATATTCTTAAGGTTAACTGTGAATGTCAAGGTAAACTATGGAAGATGCTAAGTGATGTAATTTAATGCTTAATAAATGAAAGAGTAAATATTTTTGTTGCTGAATTTTTGTTTATATTTGTTCATAAATATTTATGTATTTACTTTTTATTATGAATTTAATTATTATTTATCATTTTATTTTAATTTCATAAATTATTTATGTATTTATCTGTTTAACCATTTTATTTAATTTTAAGTCATGAGAAAGAAGTATTTCTTTTAGGAAAGGAGCCATTTGAAAAAAAAATCTTTGGTGCAGTTTTACATTTTGGAAAGTTTCAATATAGGAACTTTCAAGAACTTTCCATCTAAGTAAGTTCTTTTCTCTTTTAATAAGTGTGGCATTCTTTAGTTTAAAATTGTGTTTGAACTTATTCTGTGTATGACTAATGCATTTGATAAATTGTTACATTAAGGTTCTTTTTGTATTCATAGATATTATCTCTTTTAAATACTTAAAATATACATCACTTAGCATCCTACATAGTTCCCCTTGATTTTTACAGTTAGCCATGAGAGTATTTTTGAGTATTCTTAAATTAAAAAAATTTGAAAATCTAACAATATATTTTAATTCTGTTCATGAAAGCATGTTGCAAAATAAATCTTTATATTTGTCTTGATCAAGTCCATCAGAAGACACTGACAAAGAATAGTTTTCCTTTGGTCTTTCCTTTATATATATATATATATATATATATATATATATATATATATATATATATATATATATATATGAATGTAATGAGAATGAAAATAATATATAAATTCTAACATTCACAGCATTAATTCAAAAGAGGGCTCAATACCAAAAGTAGAGAAATAATTATTTATTATAATTTTTTCATATAGACAAAAGCAATTTACTCACGACAAACATGCAACTTTGTTTCAGTGCATTTAGTTGCACCTCAACTGGTGAGAACCAAAAGCATTTTGGTTCTCACCAGTGAAATTGTTTTTGTCTCCATGAAAAAAATATGATATATATATATGTATGTATGTATGTATACATGTATGTATGTATACATATGTACATATATATATATATATATATGTATGTATGTATGTATGTATAAGGGTTGTATGGTTTTCATTCAGACTTGTTTCAGTTTATTCATAATAGTATTAGAAGTAGCAGCTGAAGAGGTGACCTTGATAAATGCAAAATTCTGCAACATCCTTGTTTGCACTCCCTGCCCCGCTTTTTTTTCCTATGTGCTTATTGTATTCTACTTTCCTCGCTTGACATCATCCTTTTCTTTTCGATCTTGACTGAGTTTGCGAAGTCATTTTAGGTCAGTGGCTGACATACCAGAGTTTGTTAGATAACGTGATGCCAGAGGAGAAAAGGAAAAAAAGAAATGGAGTCCTGTGATATCAACAACCATGTCTGTCTGTCTGTCTATCTATCTAGCTAGCTAGATATAAAGGGTGCTGAAAAGGTCTCAGGTTGAACCATATTTCAACATCTGATCAAATGACCAAGCCAATTTTTTCTGAAGCTGAGCATTTATCTGCACCCCCTGATATCTATCTATCTATCTATCTATCTATCTATCTATCTATCTATCTATCTCACTCTATTCATTTTCTATCTACCTATCTATCTATCTATCTATCTATCTATCTATCTATCTATCTCACTCTGTTCATTTTCTATCTATCTATCTATCTATCTATCTATCTATCTATCTATCTATCTATCTCACTCTGTTTATTATCTATCTATCTATCTATCTATCTATCTATCTATCTATCTATCTATCTATCTATCTAATTTCTAAGGAATAAACAGATATTTTTATATAACTTCTTACTACACCAAATGTTATTTTAGGTTTGACAAATGTACAACCTGGAAGGCATAATTCACACTGTTTCAACCTCCCCCCTACAAATCTGGTTTTCTACTCAAACATTGGAGCATCCACAAAATAAGGTTTGAAATAGTAAGAAATAATACAAATATAAAATTTGTCACTTAGCTAATTGATGTTATATTCAGCACTTCTACTCTAGAGTTTTGTAGATGAACCTTTGTGTGATTATTCAACCTACTCATCAAGAGGGTATCAGCAAATGGCTGTCAATTTTCTTGTTTTCATTATTCTTATAATAAGTTAAAAAAATAATTTATGTGTTTTTTTATTGGTGTTATGTTGATTTTTCTTCTTTGTGTGCATGTGTGTGTTTGTGTGCATGTGTGTGTTTGTGTGCATGTGTGTATAGCCCTGTATGTGTGTGTACATTCACATGTGTAGAGTATTGGGGTTATTTCTTCATTTTCAGAATTTTCTTATCTCATCATACTCTCTCCCTTTTATCTCCTCGTACTCTCTCCCTTTTATCTCCTCGTACTCTCTCCCTTTTATCTCCTCGTACTCTCTCCCTTTTATCTCCTCGTACTCTCTCCCTTTTATCTCATCATACTCTCTCCCTTTTATTTCCTCATACTCTCTCCCTTTCATTTCTTTTCATTTTTGTTCAGTCTTGAATTTCAAAAGATGATATAACAATATTATATCTGGTGTCAGAGACAATTTGATATTTAGGCTAATTTTCCTGAATATTCTGGGGTTTTCTAAAGTTTTTGAAAATATAGATGTATTCTGTTTTTTTATTTATTTCTTTTTTAAATAATTAACTTTTTTGATTAATACTCATATATATGGACAAATTTCAGATAGAGTAAAAAGGATAATATGAATAAAGACAAAAGGAAAAATTATCTTAGCTTAAGTGTTTTGTCCTCTGTGGGACTTTATCAAGGCAAATGCAAAGACTTTATTTTGTAATAAGTATTTATATACAAGAGCAAAAATGTTATTGGTTTTTCAAAATTTTTGAGTTTAGGAACATTCATCTAGTTAACAGAAAAAATTAGGCAAGCAATTTAAATGGTTAAATCCATCACATAAATTAAACCCAAACTAAAATAATTTAAATGCTAATTTGCATTAAATAAAAAATTCAAGAACATGACTTACTCACTTTCATTTATTAGACATTGAATTATGTCACTTCATGTCCTCCATAGTTTGACTGAATGTTTTGCTTGCCTCATGAATATTTATGAGTTTTCCTAAACTTTTAGAAATTTTGAAAAACTAATAACATTTTTACTCTTGTATACTTGTTACAAAATAAAATCTTTCCATTTACCTTAATAAAGTTCCTCAGAGGATATATATATATATATATTATGAATTAATTGATTTAAAATATGTTTTTTTCCGCTACACAGTTCTAACCATGTTTCAAAAATGAGACATGGTTAGAAACTGTGTAGCGATAAAAACCATATTTTAAATCAATTAATTTATAATATTAATGCTCTGTAAATTTACATTGAGCACTATTTTGTAAAAATAAAAATATCTATAAGAACACCGGATTATATATCTTACTGTTCTTTCTTTTTATATATATATATATATATATATATATATATATATATATATACAGGAAGAGAGAGGGAGAGGCAGTAACAGGGAAAACAGGGAGGAGGGAAGAGATAGATAGAGAGGGCAGAAAGGGGTAGAGAAGGGATGGGTGGTGGAAAGAGAGAGAGAGAGAGAGAGAGAGAGAGAGAGAGCAAGCAAAGAACAAGAGGTTCATAGACATTTAAAGGTCATACAGACAATGAATGTTTTTCTTGTAATATTTAATTTTTCTTACCTTTACCTTTATTGTTGTTTCTATCTATCTATTACTATTTGGTTTGACAGTAACACATTTGTAACTATAAGTAAATATATGTATGTAAGTATACACACACACACATGCAGATAGATTTATGTTAACAGCATTTTTATTCAAAACAGCTTTTTTATGAAAAGAGGGTGATGGGAACATTTGCACTGAACTAATTATCTATCCGTCTATCTATCTATCTTTCTAGCTAGCTAGCTAGCTAACTATCCTAGTCAATTTTAATCAGCAAAAATTTAAATGCAATATTGTTATCTTTTGTCGTAATACTTGTTCTTTTATTGTTCTCCATCTTTAATAGTATATTTTTCTCATATTCTCTAATATGCAAACAAAAAATAATGATTGACATTGCATTTAAATTTTTGAAGATCAAAATTGGCTGGAAAGCAAGAAGCCAGAAAGGAGTTCCACAAGTGAGAAGTACTAGAAAATAAACTGTTATCATAGAACTTATAGTTACATCAAGCCATTTTGATTGTAAAGTGATGAGGTCTTGCCACCAATCTAATACTGTGCTTAAAGTCGAGGTACCAAAGAGAAAACTGCATCAGAACAATTGCCTCAAAAATATTTATAAGAGAAGGCATTGGGAAGCAAGATTATGGTGTTGGGAATGTGGCTGAATCTGTAATGCCAGATCAGGACTGATAACATTGCAGATTGTTTGTATTTTATCAAAAATCTCTAAATATATAGCAGATGCATGAGAGCAGATGTGACAACAATATTCAATGCATGGATAGATGGTAGACTTATAAATGTCTATGATAGACTCTGGCAAGAAAAAAAATGTCTAGTATGTCACAGTCAACTTTTCTATCAGCAGACCTAACAATTTATTCAGTATAATCTTTCCACTTCATGTCTGCAAAAAAAAAAACATTCACCTGAGAAGTTGCAATGAGTCACTTTCCTGGAAATAAGCATCTGACCTGCTGCTGGGAGGCTGAGTTTCATTTGGATGAGTTAAAATTAACAAGTATTTCTTGCCCCAGTTAACAACAGATAGTAGGTCATTTTTTTATATCTGCTGCCAATCTGACCTTATCAAACCGATCAGATTTACCATTAACACAGGAGTAAATAGGTGTGCCTTTAGCATAGATACTGAGTTGAGATATGTACAAATATGCAAAATAATTTGTAACAGAAAAATTATATGTGTTCAAGTGTCAAACAAATAGCAATATTTACATACTGATTAGTAACATATGTATTTATGTATGCACACCCACCCACATTGAAACATCTCCCCTACCCATTGTGCACTCGGTCAGCTGTTATTATGTAGGTCAATGATTTCACAATAAAATTGTTATTAACCAACTAATAATGATAAAATTTTCAGAATATTTTTATGCTATTGTTCACCCAATAAAAGACCCAAGTGCCACTCAAGGTAGAGGGAAACTCTAATAGGAGTATATAGGTTCGCCTATCATCCAGTTCACACTCTTCCCTGGTCTTTTTAACTGTCTCTCTATTAGGGATGACAAATTTTGGTCTCCTTGTTATTTTTTGTTTTTTCCTTTTCTTATATCCTGGTTGTGGATGCTTACTGATAATATAATTTTCATAGACAGGAATTGAACCTATACGTCATATAGGATACAGGTTCGATTCCTCAGAGGATGCATATTTTCTATGAAAATTTCTCAGATATTCCGGCTGGTAAATGTTGTTAATACTGTTCATTATAAACAGAGCATTTACTTAAATATTTGTCTCTATAAAAAGAATGTATAAACATAAAAAAAAAGTCTTAAAATACATATATATATATATACAATTGTGTATTTGGGCAGCAATTCCACTTTTATACAAGTTTCATGTTTCATTAAAGACGACTGCAATTAAGCACTTTTTATTTAATTTTTCTTGTCTTTGTATAAATGTTTTCTTTTCTGGATATGAAGCGTATAAAAACTGTCTGAATGTTGTTATACAAACACAGGAAGAATTAAAATTAATAGCTTAATCACAGTACTTTGTCAATATTTAATTAAATTCATATATATATATATATATATATATATATATATATATATATATATATATATATATATATATATATAACGTCATCCACAGACAGACTGTTTCGCTGTTTACAGCTCATCAGTTGGCTAGACATCCAGTTGCCTCTAGCTTAAACCCAACTGAATTGGTGTCATTCGAGCTTCTAACCAGTAAGCCGTATATATAGAAATGAAGGTGGATTTTATATTTATTTTTATAGTGACTGACAGTGACTCAATATATATAGCTATAATAGTAACTTTTTACCGACCCACACTCACCCCCAGAGTGCTCAACTGAAATTAATTTCAGGAGCTGAATATAACGTCATCCACAGACAGACTGTTTCGCTGTTTACAGCTCATCAGTGGGGGGACATCCAGTTGCCTCTAGCTAGGATCGAAACCCAAACTGAATTGGTGTCATTGGAGCTTCTAACCAGTAAGCCGTCGGCGCACGGTAGGAATGAAGGTGGATTTTAGCATATTTATTTTTTAGAAACATGCCCAGTGATTGACAGTGACTCAATTCGCTTTCGAAGAGTCTCGCTATATAGCTATAATAGTAACTGTTTACCACCCACACTCACCCCCCAGAGTGCTCAACTGAAATTAATTTCAGGAGCTTAATATAACGTCATCCACAGACAGACTGTTTAATGTTTACAGCTCATCAGTGTGGCTAGACATCCAGTTGCCTCTAGCTAGGATCGAAACCCAACTGAATTGGTGTCATTCGGAGCTTAACCAGCAAGTCGGGCGCACGGTAGGAATGAAGGTGGATTTTTAGCATATTTATTTTTAGAAACATGCCCAGTGATTGACAGTGACTCAATTCGCTGCGAAGAGTCTCGCTATATAGCTACTATACACCTCACCCCCAGAGTGCTCAACTGAAATTAATTTCAGGAGCTTAATATAACGTCATCCACAGACAGACTGTTTCAAGCTCATCAGTGTGGCTAGACATCCAGTTGCCTCTAGCTAGGATCGAAACCCAACTGAATTGGTGTCATTCGAGCTTCTAACCAGTATATCTATGAAGGTATTTTAGCATATTTATTTTTAGAAACATGCCCAGTGATTGACAGTGACTCAATTCGCTAAGAGTCTCGCTATATATATAATATAACTATTTATCACACAGAGTGCTCAACTGAAATTATTTCAGGTGCTAATAAACAGACTGTTTCCGGCTGTTTACAGCTCAATCCAGTAGCTAGGATAAACCCAACTGAATTGGTGTCTATGATTTAAAATTGAAGGTGATTTTTATATTTATTTTTAAAACATGCCCAGTGACTGACAGTGACTCAATTAAGCAAAGAGTCTATATTTCTATCTATATATAAATATATATATATATATATATATATATATATATATATATATATCACACATTGAGTGTCTCTCAATGTATAATAACAGAGCTATGATTTAAAAAATTGCTATATAATGGCAATTATATTTCAACACTATAAATGTGTCTCCTCATATGGATATATATATATATATATATATATATATATATATATATATATATATATATATATATATATATATTTTATTTATTTATATGTGTTTGTGTGTGTGTGAAAAGAATGTCTTGATGTGAAATTTGCAAACCACATAGCTGACATGCATGACCTCACTTGTGATGTTTGTGGTAGGCTTTGAGTAAAGCAGGAAAATTAAGTGATGTGCAAAGTCATCGTGCCAGAGCATCAACCAAATGGCATTAATTACTGAGAATTCATGTCAGTTTTGCAGAAAATTATGCAAATCAGCTGAAGTTATATAAATGATTTCTTCTGATTGTCATAATGACAGGCTGACAGTTAGCATAGATTTTTTTATTCTTCCAATAGAAAGTATAAGAGCCACTCAGGGTAAACGATTACTGAATGAAGTCGATGCATGTAAGAGAAAGATTTAAGAAGTGTCATTTTTGAGGATATGTATCTAAGGTAGAGGTTAACTTGAAAAAATTAAGATTGTACCAATTGGGAAGCATCCTCTCAGGAGTCATTATTATTGCTCACATTATCCTTCACATTCCAACCATGTAGAAAACACTAAAATTATTTACACAAACTACACACACACTCACACACACACATACAGATTTTTAATTCTTGTACATTGAACATTTGGAATTGACACTAAGATCCAATAATATAGAATTGCTGACACTTGAACTTTGTTGTCATGAACTACTTAAATCTTTGTTGACATTAGCCAAGCTCACAGAACCATGACACTCCCAATTTTTGACAACAAAATTGTTATGAGCATCAGTTTTTGGCTTAAAAAGTATTATGCCTGATCATGTGATCATAATCTGATTGATTAATCAATCAGATTTCATTTTAAACAGCAATTTGAGCTGCATTTGGCATAAAACAGAGAGAATTCTTCAACTCCAGTTAGATGCAAGATATATCACAGCATAGTTGGACAACTCTGTATCTCAATTTAACTTTTGAAAATTATAAAACTGTGAAACCCATAAAGTTACTCTAAATAAATATTCTTAATAACTCCAGTTGCATTTTCAACTTCTCCTTCCTATATTTTTACCCCTGTGACAGACACACACACACACACACACATATATATATATATATATATTAACCATTTCACCTCATGCAAGGTAATGAAGGCACAAGTGGTTACTGATTGTGAAAGAATATGAGAAAAAGAAAACTTTATTAAGGAGTAGAAATGTTAAAAGAACAGGAATTAAGAAGACAAAAGATAACAATTGATATTATACTTAAATTTTTGAAGGCCAAAGTTGAGTAAGAAGCAAGAAACCAGAACAGAGTTTCACAAGTGAGAAGTTTGAGAGTAGAAATTTCTAGCAAAGAAGTTTCAATTACATCCAGTAATTTCCACAGTGAAATGGTGAGACCTAGCTGCATTTAAATTTGTAGAGTCTAAGTATCAAAGAGAACAATGAACAGGAAGATATTTATAGAAAAGTCACAGGTTAGCCATGTTTTGTCATTGGGAAAGT